ACTCACAGCATCTCCTTGCTGTCCTCTGACACAGGCTCAGGATGCTTTTGAAGAGAGGACTCTGGTCCTCTGCTGAGTTACTGAGCTACTTCTCAAGTTGACACAGTGAATCAACTATAACATACTGTCCATTTTATTTTTCTAAATCCCCAATGAGAAACCAACAAGTTAGGAACAAAGAGAAATTACTACCTATTCAGAGCATCACCTGTGTTTTTTTAGGTTAGGAATTTCAGAAAGCAGCAAGGTGACAAGCAAGATGTTTAGCAAAACTAAACTCTTTGTTGGTGTAGTTTTAATATTTATATTCCAGATTCTCATTGGTGTTTTGAACAGATTCTCAAAACCTTGTTTTCTGTGCTCAAATAAGTCCTATAGGTGTAATTGTTCCACTACTTCTGCATGAATTACAATCTTTGACTAAAAGTTTATATTAAATATAGAAGCTTACCTTAATGCCTTGGAAACAAATACAGTCAATCTTAAACAGTGAGCCCTAAGCCAGAAAATCTTCCATGAAGTAACGAATTGCTAGTGTAGCTCTCTTATGGGGAATAGTAGCAGAAGTCTAAGAGGCAGAGAAGCCAGGGGGAAAGGCTCTACCATCTTTACCAAGTCCTAAATCTACCAGGTATCCTGCCTGTAACCCTATTGGACTACCTCTCCCTTATTTGTTAGATAAACATTATAATATTACAATGTTATTTTTTGAGCAAAGAGAAATCAGTAACACAACTTGCTAAGTGGTTATTATTTTAATGTCTCTCCACGTAATTTTAATTTGGAGGTATTTTTCTATATGACAATGGGCAACTCAGCAAATCTTTAGGTTGGAAGAATATCTGCAGCCAATCAACATTAACACGAAGGTGAATAAATGGTGACTATAAAGTCATCTGGAATTATGTTGGACTTCAGGGACTAGTGTATGTAAACAAGCAGGGAATTAGGAGTGCACGGAGCTCTCCTGGGTATCTGCTCTTGAGGGAATCTATAGTACTTCACTCAGTTTTCAAGGGAAGACACAATTAAATTACATGTGAGACTGAGCAGGATATTTTAGGTGTGTATACAGATAACCATATTACTTGCTAGCTCTTATTTTAACTTAATGTTTAGTTGGAAACTGTAGAATGCATGTTTTGGTATATAGTTGCAAAGACTTGGTCAAATGTATATTCATGTAACCACTATGACAGTCACCCCTAATAAGGTTCCTCAATTATTATGGCAACTGTATCTCTCACCCATGGCCCCGGGCAAACACCCTATATCTTTCCATATAATTTGGCATTTTGCAGATACATTTTAAATTAGAATCCCAGAATATGTAGTTTTTGTTTGCACTATATTCACCTAACATAATGTACTTGAAGTCCATTTGTACTATCCCCCATATCAACAGTGGTAGCTTTTCATTGAGAACATCATAAACATTGCTTATTTTTCCATTTGCTAATTGAGGAACATTTATGTCATGTCCTCTCTGGTGATTATAAATGGAACTGATCTTATTATACTATGCCCTAAATATATTAATTTGAACATTGGTTTTTGCTTCATTTCAGCTAATATCTAGGAAATACTTCCTAGCTCAACCTTTGAAATCAGCATTAGCTCATGCCAAAGTCAGACAAAAACAAAGAATAAGTTATAGACCAATATTCCTCTTGAATATACATGAGACAATGCTAAAAAATACTAGCAGACCATTAGTAAATTAAAATAACTATAAATGATGACTGAGTAGAATTTACTCCAAGAAGTTAAGGTGCTTCAATATACAAAAATCAATCAATGTAATCAACTATATTAACATAATGAGAGGACAAACATCCTATCTGTACTCCAGAATAACCATTTGCCAAAGTTTTACAGTTTTCCATGACAAGAATACTCAGAAAGCTATATGCAGAAGTGAACTTCCAAAAACTCTAAAGAATATTGATATCTATCTTTCATTTTGCTATTTATTTATATATTAAATAAATTTATTTCCAAAATCAGATCTCTTTAAGTAACTAAGAGCTTAAAGTTAACGTCTATGAGTCAGTTTGTCTAAGAAATGATGGACAGACATATATATCACTTAAGAAAGGGAGAGAGTATTGTGAGTTGGAAATCAGAAATTCATTCTTGCAAGGTTTACAAATAGTACTGGAGCAATTCTCTCTCATGTCCTTCTCAGAAAGTTTCCAAACTCTCTGAAATATAAAGAGGTAGAAAGAAGATCATTAATGTGGAGCAAGGTCTCTTAGGTTTAAGACTTGCACGTGCCATAGAAGTAAAGTGGAAAGTACCCAGTTCCTCCCCTTTCAGGTACTGTAAGTGAAGGGCTCGTTTTATACGCTGTTCCAGCAGTTCCTGGGTATAGAGCTCAGTTTTCATAGCTGTACTGCACTCGTTAGTAAAATCCTTTCATGCCATCATTCGCTTTTCTGACACAGTTCCCCGTACACCATCACTGTGTCCTGTTCTGAATTCTGAACACTGAACGCATTGAACTGACCTAGCTCACTCGGGGTCTGCTCAGGAGAGCCCCGCCTAGTAACACAGGTCTCCTATCCTTGGGTGGATCCTTTCCCATGCTCACTGCCACCCGGGCTGTGCAGATGGAAGGGCTGAGGAAGGCTGTCCTGCAGCAGATAAGCAGAATCCGAGTCAGGAAAAAAAACATGCTCCTTTCCTTCTTTGGGATTCCCAGTTAGATAAAGTGTATCTTTTCCCTCTGCTGAACGCTTTCCCTATACTGCTGGGTAGTAAACCAACTTTGCATATTTGTGCATATCTGATAATGTCTGATTTGACAATCAAATGTGATTGGCAGTTATCTGGGTATAGAAATCTAGGATTGTGGTTGTTATATTTTTTTGTAGAATTTTAAGAGATATTAATACTGTTAACTCATTTTTTTATGAAGGTAACTGATGTCAGGTGATTCTATTTTTTTTTTTTTGTAAAATGTGCTCTTCTTATCTTTCCACTCTTGCAAGAGAAAATTGCCAAATTCTCATTCGGCAAGAGAAAATTCTTCGAATGAATTTTCTCCAAAAGTGACAATTCTTCAACCCAAAGACTTACATTGTTTCAGCTCAGCAAGTGTTCACCCACTTCTATTTATATTTTGCATTTATTTTTTCCATAGTGTTTTCCATATAGCCTTCTCAGTGTGTGCTGCCTGTCACTTAATCTGTCTATTTTCTACCTCTTGGCTTTCTAAGCTTTCTTTTGAATATTTAAAAGCACTATACTACATATGTTAATTCTAAATTCTATTTCATCTGGTCTTATCATTACACTTTCCATCAAAGATTTTTATTGAATGATTTACATATATTTTGTTTCCATGTTTTCTCATTGATTTCCTTTTTGTATATTACGGTTCATGGTGTTCACTTACAACAATATGCTTTAGTTTCATTCATTTCTAGCTCTTCAGTTAATTTCATATGCTACCTTGACTGATTGAAAGATACCCAGAGAGCTGATTAAATATGATATTTGGGTATCTGTGAGATTGATTCCATAACAAGTCAGCATGGGAATTGGCAGAGTAGAGATGACCCTCAGGGAAGGTGGCAGGTGCCTAGTAATCCTTGGAGGCAGAGGAAGGGTGAATGTGTTCTGTGTGTTTGATCAGGATGTCCATCTGCTTCTGTCCTGGGACATCAACACTCCTGGTTCTCAGCTCTTACCCTTGGCCTGCATCTTAGCCCAGGGTCACCCCTGGGTGTGAGAGTTTTGGGTTGGACCTGAAGCTGCACCTCCAGCTTCATTGGGTCTCTACCTTGCTGATAGAAAATCATGGGCATTCTTGACCTCTATAATCTCATGCTCCAACCCATCACAGTAAACCTCTTCCTGTGTATCTCTATCCATCTATTAGGTTGCATCCACAAGATTATTTGAGGTGGTGAGGAGACAGCAAGGAGTCAGCAAACAGAAAATGGGTAGATGAATAGGGGAGTGACTAAAGGTGAAGTAGCTCAACCTGAGTACAACAAAGCCATTACAAATGGCAAAGTACTTTCAGAAGAAAATTGGAGAGCCTTGCTGACATCTCAGTGAATTTTTAAAATATGAGCCCTGATAGTCAGATATAAATGAATCATACAATGTTACAGTTTCTCACTACTTTTCTGAAACTCTATTCTTCATATTTTAAAGGTGAACAGGTTGGTTGTATAAAATGGCACAATCAAGATGAAACATTAATTCGTTTAATTCTGTGTTTCTAAATGTCTGCATGAAAATGTGTCGATGAGAGAATAAGAACAGTGTGCCACATGTATTGTTAAATTAGAACTCCAATAATACTATTAACTTAATGAATAAACAATATTAGACATGGAGTAAGTTCCTAGTACCTCAATTAATTACTGAATTACTTTTTATCAAAATTTAGCCACTTTCTACTTATGTCCGGGCAATTTCCCACCTTCATTTATATGTGATCAAATAGATATGTTTTTGAATACATAAGGGGCACATGGAAGCCATCCTTTTACAGGTCTATCTCTACTGCTTTGTGGTCAAGAAAATACCTGGTGTGCAAATCAATAAAATGCCCTTTAAAAGGTTTTTGATAAGCAGGAACCAAAATAACTCATGACTGAAGCCTTTCTATTTACATATTACATTTCCGGACACACCTTCTTGTCTCTAGACAGGAAACTGTGAGGTTAAAAGGAACAAAACTTGTCTCTGAGGCTTAATGTCTGATTCAGTAGAGGAAGAAGATCTCACAGTCTAGACAGTACTTGTGCCTCCTCCAGAGTCCACACCAAATCTTAAAGACAATTTTGTGTGCACGACAACCTTCTGGAATGCGCTCTTGACCTCCTTGTTCCTCAGACTGTAGACCAGGGGGTTCAGCATGGGGATGACCATGGTGTAGAACACAGAGGCAACTTTGTCGGTGTCCATGGAGTGACTGGAGCTGGGCTGCAGGTACATGATGGTGGCAGTTCCATAAAACAAGGAAACAGCAGTGAGGTGGGAGATGCAGGTGAACAAAGCCTTTTTAACTCCCTCCCCTGAGCACATCTTAGAAATGGTGATAAATATAAGCAGGTAGGAAATTAAAATAACAACTAGTGCAAAAATAACATGAATGCTTGCGAGAAACACAACAATCAACTCATTAATGTGTTTATCAGAACAAGCCAGAGTCATGACTGCTGGAACATCACTGAAGAAGTGGTGGACCACACTGGTCACACAGAAAGGGAGGCAGAAGGTGTCTCCAGCTTCAACAGCAGCAGTCATAAAACCAGAGCTGTAAGAGCCCATGGCCAGATGAGCACACACAGTCCTCGTCATGATCACAGGGTAGTGCAGGGGCTTACACACTGCTACAAAGCGATCATAGGCCATGGAGGTCAGGAGATAACTCTCTGCAGTGGCAAAGAAGACGAAGAAGAACATCTGAGCAGCACAAGCATTGTAAGGGATAAGTTTGTCATCTGTAACCAAACCAGCCAGAACCTTCGGGGTGACTGTTGAGGAGGAACAGAAGTCTACTAGGGACAGGTTGCTGAGGAAGAAGTACATGGGGGTGTGCAGACGAGGGTCCAGCAGAATCACCATGACCATCCCAAGGTTCCCAGTCACAGTGATGAGGTAGATGAGCAGGAACACTGCAAAGAGGGGAAGCTGCAGTTCTGGGGTGCTGGTGAGTCCCAGCAAGATGAACACACTCACCTCTGTGGCGTTCTCCATCAGTGGTATTACAGAGTCACAAGGCACTCTACAGCAAAGCGAGGTAAAGGAGCAGCTAGACCAGCAAAGTAAGTTACACAGCTGTTAAAATGTGGATGCGGCATTTTATCATGACAAATAATTGTTTTCCCTATTATGCAGAACTAAACTTGGTATTACAAAAAACTGGTAGATGACTTATTTGTGCAGTAATTTTTTGCTTTTTTTTTCTGGTACCAGGAATCGAACTTATGATGTCGCACTTGCCAGGCAGGCGCTGTGCCGCTGAGCTAAATCTCCAGCCCCTGTGCAATAATTTTTTGAAGAGCAGAGGTCTTCATGGATTGTAAACCCCACTTATCAATTTTTAAATGAGCAGACTGGTCACAATGGCAGCTTAGGAAACTACTCAGTGTCACATGCCTGGAATAAATCTGTCTGCCGGGCAAGACAGAGACTAATACCTCAGTTGCTGTAATTGCCCCTTGCCAGCCTTCAGTGTCATTTAGTCCTCTCACTGATCCCATTAGGTGGTTTATTGATACCCATCTTCATAGGAAGTAATTTGGTAACACAAATTCAAAATAGTTGAATATATTCAAGAGTATATGATAATTAGTAGACATAGCAAAGATTTGGGCAATGTAGTTTCCAATCAAAATATTGCTAATGAACTTGATATCATTCTAATTTTGCCACAAAGACTAGGCAATCATTCTACCACTGATCTACATCCCTCAGTCGAAGATATCTAGGTTCTATTCATACTAAATGAGATGTATATATATATATCTATAAATGATCTCTCCTTCTTCTTTGATGTCTCCCTTTGTCTGTCCATACATCTGTCTTCATGCCATGTAACTGGGTTCTGGACTCTGCATTATTTGTATTTGCGAGCATGTCACCCAATACATAATCTGAGCTAAATTGTTGCTTGTGTTTCCTTTGCTGTGTCCTCTAACGACAACTCTTCTCATTGCAGCCCTGTGAATACTCCAGGATAACCTCACCTTCCCCAAAGCCCCAACTTAATTGTTATGTGCAGTTCTTTTCTTCTCATCTAAGGCCACATCATCATGGGGTTTTGTGGAGCAGAATGCAGATGTCTTTCTGGGCCATGATTAAGGCTGCGAATCTCTGTACGAGTACGAAGTACTGCAGGAAAATTATCTCTAGTATTAGACACTGCGGCTGAGACATCTTCATAGATTACGCAGTGGAATTCCTTAATGTGCATGACTCAAAAGAGAAACAGAGAAAAGAACTGATGTGTGAAGATCACACATCTTAAATGAATTTATCTTTAAATCATTTTTTTTAAGTAAGTAATAGGTTAAACTTAATCCTTGTGAGCCTGTTTGATCATTTTGTATGTATACCTCTCTTTAACTGCAAAGTAAGTGGAGGATTGGAGAATTATATGCGTTTCTTATATTCTAGGGCTAAAATAGGTCAATTTAAGGTTCAGAACCATATCTAACTTACTGTGAAATCTGCAATGCTAGATTTTCTAGAAGAACAAATAAGGGAAAAATGAGTTTGTGAGGAACTAGGGAAAATGAAGTAATGATCATAGTAGATCCATTTTAATTCTCCTAGAGTCAATAGAAGCACTGTATTGTCACACTGTTTTTGCAAGTTACCCCAATTCTGTGTCATTTTTATTATCTTTCAAATTTAAAAAATTAATAAAAAACAGTAAGAAAGCAATGTATAGTGAAAAAGATGAATTTTTATCCTCTACCTAATCAGGTCACCATTTCTCCAAGGTTTTTGTCATTTTCTTAAGGAAACCAACATCAAAGATCATAAATACAGTACCACTATACTCTTTGCTGGTTAAAATGTTTTTGCATTTGAATGCTGGACGTATTTCAATACCAGTAGTTTGAAGACAGAAGCCAGGGTGTCATGCATACTGGGCAATCATTCTACCACTGATCTACATCCCTCAGTTGAAGATATTTAAGTTTTCTGAAGTGGTGTTGGGATGGAACCCAGAGCCTGGCACACACGAGGCAGATGCTCTGTCACTGAACTACATTCCCAGCATCTCCAAGGCAGAGTTTCAGAAAAAGCATCCAGGGAATCATATAGGAGGTAAAGAAACAGAGTTGCATTGTAGATATCCCATTGTTTCTAATTCACTATTATGTTTTTAAGTTAAAAGTGTTTACTAAATAGAAAAGCCTACCTTTGCCTTGGAAAAGAAGGAAAGGCAATCTTGAGTTGTAAGTCAGAAATCAGAAATTCATTCTTGGAAAGATGTGTAAATGATGGTGGAGAAAGTTTCTCTCATGTCCTTCTGAAAAAAAATGTCTCCATCTCCTTTGACCGATGTAGAGGTAGGAAGAGAATTATGAACAAAGAACTGGGACACAGGTTGAGGTCTTGAAAGTATCACGGATTTTGCCATGTACTTGGACATTACGTATTTTCTGCAGCACTTAGTCTCCTCATTTGTGGAACAGAAATGGTAAAATTAATGCCACCAAAATTATGTTTGTGAGATGCCATTGAGATGTGTCTATATAGAGTTTGGTAAGTCCTATGCATTCAGTGTGAAACAAGAATCCTTGAAAATACTCAGTCTCAGGAAAATACTCAGTCTGGGGAAAGGCTGAAAATATTAGCTTTGTCTTGGGTAAGTGGTGACCAAAGGGGCAGTAATTCGAGCCTTATCAGTTTGAAACAGTGTCATGTGGGACCATGACATGATATCGGAGCTCTGCCAAGGGGAATGAGGAGAAAACTGTCTAAACCCGGGCCTCTCTGGGGGTCCTGCTCCCTCAGAGGGCAAGCATTTCTCTTCCTCACACTTACCTAGTGGAGAAGCAATTAACCTGCATACAGGAATGTACTCTTTATGTTGAGTAACACATAAATGGTTAGTTTTTCTCCCCTAATTTTGTTACATTGTCATTACATACCTAAGCAACATGCTTAGTTTGTTTACATTTAGTGCTCTATTGATATTTACAGTATATTCCACATATTTGTTTTTGCAGCATGTTTTTATTCATTTCACCTTTCCCCCTTCTATTTGTCACTTATTTTTACTAATCCGTAGTTATTGAGATTCCAGGAAAATGATAAATGAAATTCATATTTTCCTGTCTTGTGTTTGCTATCAGCTGGTAGATATCACACAGGAGCAAGAGTGGTGGGGCTTTGAGTAGGAATTAATACCGAGAAGTCAATTTGAACATGTGACTGATGTGTGCAGGCGGGTGGCTTCCTTCCTACCCCGAGCGACCACCCTTAGCACACGCTGGGTGCTGCCTCCTACTCTCTTGGCTTGCGTGGTCCGCACACCGGCGCACCACGTGAAGACAGAGCGAGGAAAGAGGTGACCTGTCCGAGACCGAGGGCTTAGATTTTGCTGCAAGAGGGTGCTCAGCTCAGGTGTGCTGCCTTTAGTGTTTCTGGTGCCAGTACCGGTAAAAACAAATAGAAGTAAAGTGGAAAGCACCCAATTCCTCCTCTTTCAGGTACTGCAAGTGAAGGGCTCGTTTTATACGCTGTTCCAGCAGTTCCTGGGTACAGAGCTCAGTTTTCATAGCTGTACTGCACTCGTGAGTAAAATCCTTTCATGCCATCCTTCGCTTTTCTGACACAGTTCCCCGTACACCATCAGTGTGTCCTGTTCTGAATTCTGAACACTGAACGCATTCAACTGACCTCGCTCACTCTGGGTCTGCTCAGGACAGCCCGCCTAGTACCCCAGGTCTCCCGTCCGGGGGTGGATCCATTCCCATGCTCACTGCCACCCGGGCTGTGCAGATGGAAGGGCTGAGGAAGGCTGTCCTGCAGCAGATAAGCAGAATCCGAGTCAGGAAAAAAAAAACAACACATGCTCCTTTCCTTCTTTCGGATTCCCAGTTAGATAAAGTGTATATCTTCCCTCTGCTGAAAACATTCACTGTGTCTCTGCATAGTAACCCAACTTTCTGATAATATCTTGATTTTTGCAATCAAATGTCCCCGGCAGTTTGCCTGGGACTAATATTTATTTTCTTTCAGCAGTTTTGAAAGGTATAAGTTTGTATGTTTATTATTTTTTTCTGGAGACTGATGTCAGATAATTACAAATCCTTTAAATAATTGGTTCTTGTCTTTATTTTTCCAGTCTCTCAACGGAGAATTTTTCAAATGAATCCTCTTAATACTGATGAAGTTCTTCAGTACAAGGATGTAGCTTTCTTCAATTAAGCAAATGTTCATCCATTTTATGTTTTGTATTCAGTTTTTCCTCTGTTCTTTCTATTTTTCCTGTATGGTCTTGTCAGTGTGTCCTGCCTGTCTTGATTTGTCTTTCCATTTTCCATTTCTTACTTTTGTAAGCTTTCTTTTGAATATGTTGAAGCACCAACATGCATATGATAATTCTAATATCCACTTTGTCTAGTCTTATATTTACCCTTCTCAACATCAAAAGGTTTATAATATGATTAAATATATATTTTGTTTTCATGATTTCTCATTGGTTTCCTTTTTGTATATTATGGTTCATGGTGTTCACTTACAACAATTTGTTTTAGTTTTATTCATTTCTAGCTCTCCAATTAATTTCATATGCTATCTTGACTGATTGAAAGATATCCAGAGAGCTGATTAAACATGACATTTGGGTATCTGTGAGATCAATTCTAGAAGAGGTTAACATGGGAACTGGCAGGGTAGCAATGACCCTCAGGGAAGGCAGCAGATGCTTAGTAGTCCTTGGAGGCAGAGGAAGGTGAATGTGTTCTGTATGTTTGAGCAGGACGTCCATTTGCTCCTGTCCTGATCTAGCACAAAACATGCCCCCACTAGTATACTTCAGTCTTTTAGTTGCCCAGGTAACAGTTCCAGTTCCAGTTCCTGTTACTTTTGTTTCTTAGAAATTGTTGCTCACTGTGATGCAGAGCTGGTCATTATGATGCATATTGTATAAACCAGTCCCCAACTGACAAGCCACTCTGCCTCTGTACTTCCTTCTTGCTTATCTTGTATAAGCCCTACACTGCCAGAGATTG